TTAGCAGCCCGTTCTTCCTTGGCGCGTTTAATGGCTGCTTCCTTCTCAAGATCCTTAATTTGTTGTTCAGTGAAAGCCCAAAGTGTTTTTCCAAATTCTTCCGTGGTGAGAATCTCTTTACGATATCTAACAATTGGTTAGCTCTGTTTTTCCGTTTATAGAACAGAGGGGTTCATACATAGCACCGCGACATTCGCGCAAAAACTTCCCTCCCTCGCCTACACCGCATTCAGGGCTCATAGCTGCGGCCAGAAATGTTTGTGCACCTTGTTCAGGACTCTTGAGGACCAACCACCAGAATGGGTATGTGACTACATATAGCAGCAACCCCCAAATGCTTCCAAGACTCAACCAACGCCTCATTCCAGGGGTTCTAGCAAGGCCGGGATCAATGTTAAAGATGCGAACATTATTAGGGTGTTTATCAGGTCTTTCATGCGCATTCATACGGCGCTGGAATTCGCAGGCAAACGCCATAGCGGCCATTTTCGATGCGCCGTACGAGCGCCATGGCCGCATAGTTGGATACCCGCGCTGGAGAAACTGTACATCGTTGAGGTCAAGTTCGCCGAGGACATGAGAAGAGCACGTGGCCATGAGCACGCGGACGTTTCTATCGGGGGGTTGTACACGAAGGGTAGGTGTCAAGATATTAAGCAATTGGAAGTGTGCAAGGTAATTAATGCCCCAGTGAGCTTCAACGCCGTCTTTTGTCAACACCTTTGCAGTCATCGGAGGCGCCATGATACCAGCGCAGCATATGACCATATCCACGCGTCGCGGAGGCGAATTATCGATAAATTTGGTCGCAAATTTTCTAACACTGTGGAGGGAGCTAAGATCACATTCTTCCGCATATATCAACTGGTTGTTGTAGCGCTCGCGGAGGTCCTCAATATAATCTTGAGTGAATACGTCTTTAGGGTCGCGCACAAGAAGAATGAGTTGACAACCACGAGATGCGAGATCGGCAACAACTGCTGCCCCTATTCCCGTTGTACCTCCCTGATGGAAATTAGGATCTCTTACATACTCTAAATCGTGAGGGGATGGAAGGGGATTTTACTGTTACTATAGCCACTCTACCATGCATAACTCGTTCATTTGCATTTTTCGCACCACCGAACCAAGTCTTCAATAAAACTAGCAAAGCAATCAATGGTAGAACTTTAAGAACTGGTAAAAGAAACGGAATGGACTGGATGCCATTAAAATAAACCTCCCCAAGCACGGGGATAGGCATTTTTGCGGTGTAGATATAAGAGTTCCCGAGATTTGAAGATGTTGGAGGGAAAGGAGTTTCCCGCACAGGCAGTAATACCAGCAGCCAAGGGAGCGGCTCAGCGATGGCCAGCAGTGCATTTTGTATGTAGGGTTAGGGCAAATCGCAAGCGACGGAACAACATGACAACAATCACGTATGGCACTCTAACCATTTTTAGAACATAATTTTTGATCTATGTGCACCACCAGAACGAGATGAAAAAAAACATAAAGCTACGTATCCCTTTTCCCTTTCGCCACCTACTTCATGGCACGCAAACCAAAAGTGATAAAACCCCCATGAAGAAAAAGAAAAAAAAAGGTACTTTTTGGTGACAGTATCATAACCATTGGATTACAGCGTCAAAGAAAATAGAAATACCAGAACATTGAACAGAAGAAATTTTTATTGCTTTTCGAGTTTATTTGTTTAACGGGTTGACATGGCTGCAATAAGAAAATTAGTTTATTAGATCTAAGAAGAAAGCGGTTAAAACATACCCTTAGTGACAACACGCTTGAGAGCAAGCTCTTTCTTCTTCAAGTCATCTGCACCAGAGTCATCAATCTCCAACTGTCCCATAGCATCGCTAAGAGCAGCCTCGATTTTCTCCTTAGTGCCCCTCTTCAATCTTAAGCTCAATGTTGGGTCAGAGACAATCTCCTCAACACGGGCAATGTAACTCTCGAGCTGTTGTCTGGCCTCGAACTTCTTGGAGTAAGCGTCATCGGTTGACTTGAATTTTTCAGCATCGGCAACCATCTTCTCAATATCGGTGGTAGACAGCTTTCCGACAGAGTTAGAGATGGTAATGTTGGCAGATCTGCCGGTGGACTTCTCAATAGCAGTGACCTTGAGAATACCGTTGACATCGACTTCGAAAATAACCTCGAGGACAGCCTCGCCAGCCTTCATGGGGGGAATAGGGGCAAGGGTGAACTCTCCAAGAGAAGTATTGTCCTCGCAGTTGACACGTTCACCCTGGAAAACGGGGAACTGAACAGTGGTCTGATTGTCGGCAACAGTGGTGAATGTCCTCTTCTTGATTGTGGGGACAGTTTGACCACGAGGAACGACAGGAGCGAAGATGTTACCCTCCATGGCAACACCAAGAGAAAGGGGAACGACGTCCAACAACAAGAGGTCGGCAGTCTCTTCGGAAGTGGCCTTTCCAGAAAGGATACCAGCCTGGACGGCAGCACCGTAGGCAACAGCCTCATCAGGGTTGATACCCTTCTCGAGCTTCTTTCCATCGAAAAGATCGCTCAACATCTTTTGAACCTTAGGGATACGGGTGGATCCTCCAACCAAAACGACTTCATCGACCTTGTCCTTGGAGAGACCGGAGTCTTTCAGGACCTGCTCAACAGGGGCAATGGTACTCTTGAAAAGAGAGGCGTTGATATCTTCAAAACGAGCACGGGTAATGGAGGTGTTAAAATCCTCTCCAGCGAAGAGAGAATCAATCTCGACAGTAGTTTGAGTGACAGAGGAGAGGGTACGCTTAGCACGCTCGCAAGCGGACCTAAGACGACGAAGAGCACGTGGGTCATCAGAGATGTCGTGCTTGGTCTTGCGCTTGAACTCGGCCTTGAAGTGATCAAGGAGAGCGGTATCGAAATCCTGTCCTCCCAAGTGGGTATCACCAGCAGTGGCCTTGACGGTGAAAACACCACCTTTATATTCGTTAGATCGTAAAAAGAAACTCCAAGATTCTCTGATATAGACTTACCCTGGATGTGGAGGAGGGAAACATCGAAAGTTCCACCACCCAAGTCGAAGATAAGGACGTGTCTTTCCTTGTTGGTCTTTCCTGACCCAAGACCGTAGGCAATGGCTGCCGCGGTGGGCTCGTTGATAATACGAAGGACGTTCATGCCAGAAATGGCACCAGCGTCCTTAGTAGCCTGACGCTGGTTGTCATTGAAATAGGCTGGAACGGTGATAACAGCCTTTTCCACAGACTTACCAAGCTTGGCCTCGGCAATCTCCTTCATCTATAGGATTTCACAAGAATGCATAAGACACTATGCCACAATTGAAAAATCGGCATACATACCTTGGTTAAAACCATGGATGAGATCTCTTGAGGAGAAAACTGTTTGGTCTCACCGAGGTACTCAACCTCAATGTATGGGTTACCCTCACGGTCAACAACAGTGAAGGGCCATGACTGAACATCCTTCTTGACGCTTGGGTCGTCGAAACGACGACCGATCAATCGCCTGCAAATCCACAAATGTTAGCCGTCTTCGATGCAAGTTGTTCGAGTTAATCATATCAATCTATAATACAGCAATATTTCATAATCACTCAATGAGCAAGAATATAAATGAATCGACATACTTAGCGTCAAATACAGTGTTTCGGGGGTTGAGAGCAGCCTGATTCTTTGCAGCATCACCGATCAATCGCTCCTTCTCAGAGAAGGCAACGAAAGAAGGGGTGACACGGTTTCCTTGCTCGTTGGCAACTGAAAGTAAAAGGGAAAAAAACCGTCAGTAACTTTTCTATTTTTTCTTAAAAAATAGAAATTCCAATTCGTCAAGCTATTCGAAAATTGGGAAAATTCTAAAATGGAGAAGAGGCAAACGTACTGATCTCAACACCGCTACCCTCATAGATGGCCACACAAGAGTAGGTGGTACCTAAATTGCAATAGAAAACAATGTTAGTTAATCATAATAATTAATACGCAATAGAGGCGTAATAATTTTTTTTATAGATTCAGAGAGCATTGCAGGCTACGAACCAAGATCGATACCGATCGCTCCGTCGTATTTTCCTTCCATTGTAATGGTATGTAATTGTAGAGAAAGAAATTTGGTGAAGAAAGAAGAGTTGAGGAATGGACGATGAAGAGGGGAGGGGTGGTGAGAAGAAGGAGGGGGATAAGAAAGCGCAGTGGGGTTTTTGTTAGGCCTGTGTGGGGTGGAAAGTTTTTTTTCCTCTTTCTTACTTTTGTGTGTGTGTGCGTTGATCCTTGTTTCGCCAAGACATGCATGTGCACTCTAACCTCAAATGGTGATTTCGGCGAGCGGTCCACGGCTATCGACTATTTCGGAGCACGATGGCCGTGCATGATTGAATTTTATATATGATTTTAACTATGTTCGTCTGTTTAATTATTTTACCATAAGCTACCTGAGTACAAGGGGAAGTTAAATTACCTACATATATAAACAATTAATATATACATATCGTAAGCATGTATATACATATCGTAGGCATGTATATACATGTACATGTAGCTTTACTACAAAAAACCAATTACATGTAAGTTCTGAGAACTCTTCGTAGCAACGACCTCACAAAAATTCTCAGGACTAAATTAACGCCCGGGTATGGTATACCCGTTAATGCGTAATGTAGTATGTAATGAAGTAGGAATTCGTTATAGTACAGTATTTGTGCAATATGGTTTAAGTCCGTCTACTTCACTTGAGGATGTACATAGTTAATACGTAGATGTTTCCAACGTATTTATACACCCAGGCATTAGTGCATGCCTATACCTTACCTAGACCTATCGTCATCTTCATCATCATCGTTATTATAATCATTATTATCACCACATATACAAATTACAATTGATGAATAGATACATGAAGAGTTCTCATCTATTATACCAATAGTCCAGAGATTAGCAAGAAGACAAAAATCCCCTCATTCAAGCAAGAAAAGAAATCCAATTGCAGACGCTCCATGATATTTTATTCAAAACACACCATCCTCGTTATTGTCCGCTCTTCCCAGCATGCCCACAGATAATACACCGAAATGCCCAGTCATTATCTAGGGAGTGTTGCTCCTGCAGATTATCCAGACACCTCCTGTGAAAAATATGTCGACAGTTAAACAACACAAGCTCTCCAGCCTCCTCCTCCCCTCTATCTCCGAACTCGTCTCCCTCACCACGAGTATCGTTAGAGCTTTCTCCGCCCATTTCACCAATATCACTTATCTTTGCCCGACTCTTCCCCCGTGCAACAGCAGATAATGGTCCCTCAGCCATTAGTCTTCGCTCCTCGCGTAACTTCTCTACACGCTTAAGATTTCCTACTCGCTGCTTCTCCCAAGCGGTGTAAATACCACCTGCCGCACCATGGCCCCACACTCTTTTACCACAGGCTTCACATGTTTGTGATATTGGGCGACATCCTTTCTGGCGTAATGCGGCGGCCTCATCAACATGAACAAATAGGTCTTTTTCAAGTAATCGATTCGCGAGTGATAAGATCTGCTCCTCATATAAATATGCCTCGAAAATGCCGCTAAGAACGCTGCGAAGTTCTGAGAGCGAAGGTGAAGCTATTGAAGCGCGGGAGAGGAAAGCTCTAAGAATGTGAAGAAACGATACAGTTTGTGAGCTCGATGTTGCTGCCAGGAGCGCTGAAAAGGTGTCTTGGACAAACAGACGAAGTGATTGTATAACTTTCCCTTTATCGATTTCAGTTGAGCGATGATCGGCTGAGCCATTGACTTCAATATCAAGGGTTATCATCCCGTTCGCAGAAGGTCTGTTCAGAATTGAGATGCAATTCTTTGCAATGCGCACCACAACATCCACTAGATCTAACCATAGAATCTCCTCTCCACTCAAAGGCTCTTCATCCGACCTCCTTTTTGCTCTGGAGGCCTTTATCATTCGTTTTCCGGTCTTCATCTGACCCCGACAAAGCCAGACACCAACTTGGGCATACTTCTGCAGTGATTGTAGAGTCTCTGTTGCTGCGCCTGCACCCAACTGCGACCCATGTACATGTACAGTCGCGCTGAGTATACCGCTCAAAGCTGTCTCCAACGTGTCAAAGTGAGCTATCAATCGGTTCATCGCGTTCCGAATTTGACCTTCTCTAGCCATCAATAAAACCGCCGCGTCCATAACCCCATTATCCTCCAGCGCCGGTAAGACCTTCTCAAGGCGAAGATCGCCTGATTGTAACCCGCCGACAAAATCAGACAAGTGATGGGGATCGAATTCGCACATTAACCTGATATACAACTCTACGAATGAGAGATTTGACATTGCTGCTGGCCTTTTGTTGCCATGACCTTCGTTCACGTCCTGTGGCTCAAGGATCGTACGGAGGTACAGGAACTGATCATGAGTGCGATCTTCAATCGAGTCAAGGAGAACCCTATGGATCTCGGGAACGTAGGTATTGACAACAAGCGCTGTTCGAATACAATCAATATCAATCAGTTGCCGTGCATTCTGCTCAATGACAACTCGGACCTCTTTAAACTGTCGTTCGTTGAGACCACTGTGAGGTCGTAGATAGTCTCCAATGCAATCAAAAACCGTTTCCTGTGATTCCTGGTCTTCGAAATAAGTTTTGATCAGTCTCGCGTAGCGCTTCTCGGAGCGGAATATTGACTTCAGGACTCGATAAAATTTCGCATTTATAAAAAGCTCAATAAGGTCGTCGATATCAGGGGGATGGTATACAGTGAGTAAGTACTCAACGCTGAGTTGACAGTCATCGGCAATATCTTCTCCGGGGTAGTTACAAAGACCGACAATAACACGGCGCAAAGCACTTCCTGACAGAAGTATGAATTGAGTGTATTTCGGCAGATTTCGCCCAATAAACATATCGAGATATATTGTATCCTGTGGAGGGAAATCTGTGGGGCTCATGACTTCTAAAAGTATTTGAACGACGCTTTGTCGGTCTACTGAATGTATGCAGAATATCCGTTCCTCTGATAGGCCTGTTGTCCCGCCGTTGCTCAGAGACTTAGGCGAATCGTTCAAAAAAGGATCCTCAAATGCTTCATTCAGGGCGCTTAGAAAGCTTGATGCGTCAAATTGAAGGATAAGTCGAAGATATGGGTAGGACGGTTCAATAACAGAATTGTGCGATGTAAGGAATGGTTTATTCATATGTTTTGGCCAGTTAATTGCTTTTCCTAAGAAGAGGAAATGATAGATAGCCGCTTTAGCATTTAAAGCTTCGGGCTCAGTAAGCTCTTCTCCGGTAGGATAAACTCGTCCAGTAAGGGTATAGGAAAGGTAGGGGAATATTTTGAGCGCATTGACGGCGTAAATTGAATCCTCGTTTTCGTCCACGCCGTTCCTTAGTAATGGTACTAACAGAGAGAGAAGATCTATCATAGGAGTAATATAATCGCCGAGAGCTCGATTCCAGACGTAAATCATTGCATCATAGAGATTATGTCTTTTGCAAAGGGTTGTGACCTGGTCAATGTCCAGTGTCCTTGTGTCCATGTGACAAATAATTTCTTCTAATCGACTATCCAGTTCGAGGGATGTGTAGTGGTTGATAAGTGCCTTAACAACTGTCGGAGGGACAGACCGGATTCGACCTTCTAGAATGTGTGGCTCGAGCGTTTCAAGGAAGATGCCTTGAACAGAGCCTTGTTCGAAATGGTCAAAGGCCTCTTCAAACAAAAAGTCTGTGGCACCCATTGCCAAACAAGCATCAAAGCAAACAGTAGCAAGGTCCTGTAATTGATCATTCCCTAAAGGCTCGGTTTGCGATGACTTTCGGTTTTTGCCAAAAGCATATCGTAAAGAAGCAGACATCATCTCCAAAAGCCTTTCTCGCACTATTGGGTAGCGCAAGTTAGAATCCTCGGGCAAACCAATCGTCAACTTTGTAGTTTCTCCAATATAGTATGTTGTAGCAAGACGAATAGCGCCGATAAAGTCTCCGACCTCCATCATTGCAAGAAGCCGATCAGCCCAGTTAGAAAGCGCACCAACAAACAAATCGTACTGACCCTGAATTTGGGTTAGCTTTGGCAGGCAAAAGGTTGAAAGAGACGTACCAGAAGAAACATTCTCCCTTTATAGGTTTTGAAACTATTATAGAAGGCGTCTGCTACATGTGGATGCATCGAGCTTTCATCGTCCATTCGGTCAACTAAAGGCCCGAGTTGTGTGGAGAAAGCATCTAGATGAAGAATTTGCTTGGGCATCAAATCAAATGTTTCTGTAACCCGTAATGCAATATCTTCCAGTATTATTAATCGTTGAGTAACTGTCAAGACAGCGATTATCTAGATTCAAGTTAGAAGGGCAACCCAAAACTTTACATATTGAGAACGCAAACCTGGCGATTAATCCACTGCACGGCTACAATAGCTTCATCACACCGAAATCGACTTTTAGGTCGGAATTCTAAAACAGGGGGACGATTTGGATCCTCCTTTTCCCCAGACTCAAGAATTGAGAGCTCCAATAATGTCAAAACATTCGACCAGCTATATACTAACCGTGCATTCGACGATGGGTGTGTTGCATCCGGAGCTATGGCAGCCTGTTTTAGTTTCGTGAAAGGATACCAGGCTAGGCAGCCTGAAAGAGCAGAATCGGACGCAACCTCCTTCGGTCTTGCAGCTTTGTGTTGCGTTTGAGCAATTGGCGTTGTAGAAACCACGACGAGAAGATAGGGTGTTAATAAGGCCACAAGCCCCATTGTGTCTGTTTTTTGTGGAGAGTTTCCTAAGGGGAGGGCGGAAAACCCAAGAACTGAACTAGGCTTTCGAGGGCGCCCGGTGGGTGCAATATCCAGGGGATATCGCCCCAAAATCCTAGTTGTTTTCACCACCCTTCTGACTATCCCTAACCCCCTAGTAGCCAAATGTGAAAATCCCATTCCCCTATCATCCCCAGAAACTAAAGCCGTGTGTCGTGTCCCGAGAAACCCAAGATGGAGCACTGAGACACCTTCGACATGACCATCCGCTTTTCGGTTTTCAAGTTGGGATAATGGCAGTGGTGGAATCTGTAGGAATGGTTGACTAGGTTTAGATAGTTCCCAAGTGAAAATATGTCCAGAAGAATGGCCTCCGGCAATCGTGGTATGATCCGCAGAGATGGCCATGCCAGTTATAGGACCACATTCGACAGCTACTTCTATCAGATTTGTCTTGTTATTGCACTAAGGGGAAATCGTACCTTGCGTTCCGGGTCCTATTATAGATTGAAGAGTTTGATTATAGTCGAAAATTAAAATGCTACCCTTAGAAGTTCCTACAGCAATAGTTGCAGAAACGGTAATACATGTGGGGGTGCCAAAACTCCGTTTTCCGGCTTCTGAAAAGAGTTGGTTCTTGATCTTTTTGAGCTTAGTCCACCGAACAACATCCCATGGTGCCGATCCTTCATCCAATGCTCCAAAAGTAATATTCTCTGCTTGGCTACCAGATGAAGATGATCTCGAATGTGGACTAAGAAGAGCTGGTGAAAGAGCACGAGGTGATTGAGACAACGTCGGAGTCCCAGGTTGCAAGCGAGATTGAAATCTCCTATCAAACGGTCGTAGTGAGGGTGAGGGTGAGAATCTGGATCCAAATGCACTACTGGTGCGTGAAGATGCCACAGAACCCTGAGATCGTGAAAGTCAGAAATAAAACAAGTAATAAAGTCCCAAAAAGAACTCACATGTACCGAAGGTGTATCGTCAGGATTGGAGAAAGACGGAGCAGGGCTATTTCGTCCATTTGTTGCATGAGGCAAATGTGAATCTTGGGAATCGGTATGTGAACCCTCTTGTTCTATCTCTCCCCCATCAGAATTCTTGTATGAGTGGAATACAGAGACATTCGCTGATCCTAATCCTCCACTTTCTTTCCTTGCTTCTTGCAAATATTCCAGCACCCTTGATGTCGTTGTTGTTGTCCCGATCGGCGCTTCCTCTTTCCCCTCTCCCCGCTCTCCTACATCCCCACCTGTGTCCTTATTCCCATCCATTCCCATCGTATGCCAATCTTCGTGCTCTTGTACTGTTTCTGCAGTTTCGGTCTGTAGGTTCTGATTACTTCCTGCATGATTATCATTTGCGAGCTCTGAGCTCTCATCTGGCATCGAGCTCATCGGTGGGGCCTATGCTCAATTCTCATTTCTCAAACCCAAGCTTCAATCCTTGAGGAGGCTGAAGGGCTTCCCCTGCTGTTACTGTTTCTTCGCGGATGCCGATAAAATAATACCAGTCCAACGTGAGTGAGTTCAAGGTTGTAGCTATCTTGAAATCCAAAGAGCAAGTCCTCCTGGGCAAATAACCGTGTGATGGCCCTATGAACAGTTGTGCGAAGTTCCAAGTAACTTTGCGATTCTTGAGAAGCCACAGCTGTGCGACGTTGCAATTGTTCTGAGATATACCTATGATAGGCTAACATATGTACCAGTCCTAGCAATGTATTGTGGACTCTTCTTTCTAGCTCTAGCAACCAAGCTTTAACATTAACAACACAAGCTGCCCAAACAACAACTACCATTAACAATGGACGGAGATCTTGTCGGCCCTGCAATTCCACCACATATTCTCGCCAAGCGAAAACGGAAGGCCGAAGAAGCTGCTGCTGCTGCTGCTGCTGCTGCTGCTATTGCTGTTTTGGTAAAAGGAGCCCCAAAATCACCACCGACGGAGGACCCAGATAGCAAGAAAAGGCGGACAGTTGGTCCAGCGCCACCTCCAGCACCCCTCAATGAACTACCCGCTGGATATCCAGACGATAGTGATAATAATGATAGCAGTAGTGACGAAGATATAGGACCGGCTCTACCACCAGGCCCTGGGACGGAGGTAAATAATTTCTTTCTGTCTCATGTAATTTCGAGCTAACTTATATAAGCTGGATCAAGAACTTGCGGCGCAACGACGTTTAGCAATGTTCGCAGAGGCCCAAACTACCAAAGCGGACGATTCCAAGCCGAGGCGTGATGAGTGGATGTTGGTACCACCGAAGTCAGAGGATTGGGCATCAATGGTTGACCCGACAAAATTAAAAAATCGAAAGTTCCAGAGCGGGAAAGGAGCTAAAGCGCCGCAAAAAGCTGGTGGAGATAATTCTTTATGGACAGAATCGCCAGAAGAACGCCGTAAACGACTCAATGACGAAGTCATGGGGATTAGAAAGCCTGCAACCCAGGGAGATAATACAAAGAAGCCAAGTATCAGCGCTGCTGAGGCTGAAGAAACTGCCCGTAGAATCAAAGAATATAATGTGAGTACTCTAGATCTATATCTCTGCACCCAATGAATCCTTATAGTATTTTAGGAAAAAAACCGGAATAGGTCTCTATACGATCAACACAAATCATCGGGAAGTGTACGTGAGAAAGAGGACAATCCAAGCGCTCGAGCCTTCGATCGTGAGAAGGATATCGCTGGAGGCCGCAAGGTTGGGCATCAGCAAAAGAAGGAAATGTTGCAAAGAGCTGCACAGTTTGGAGATCGGTTTTCTTCAGGCAGCTTTCTGTAATCGCTTTCAATTCCAATTAGTTATATACTAGCCTTCAACCTTTAAAGAGTACGGAAGATCTATAGAGCTATTATCAACCTGTTCCCTTCAAGTATATATTAAAACACTAAATACTTTTTCGTCATATACCGATAAATGACTTTGGAGGAAAGTCTTGGCAGCCAACTACATCAAAATATCGGATAGGATGGCTTTCCTCATAACAAATATATGTCGCACATAAAAAATAGCAAAGCGAAGGGGATATGACCCAAGAATCTAGTTGAGATGATTTTACGGACAGTGATTCGTTAACGAGTGATTTCCCATGATGTGCGAGCAAAATTTCTATCACGGTAGACCCAGTCACAGAGCATCACTCGTATTTCTCGTGTCTTAGAAACAAAACTAAAGCTACATGCAATTGGGTGCATTTACATCTGGGACGGAACGTACATTCCCTACTAATATATATTGAAATTCGACTTTACTGACGGAAGGAGGAGAACGGGGGCCGAAGGCCCCATGGATCGAAGGCCTTTTATAATTATTGAACACTTGATTGATACCCATATATAATCCAAAGTACAACTCGCGGTCGCGATATGGGCCACTACTAGTGCAAAGTACAAGAAATAAAAAAAACAATCAATTTCAATCCCCAACCTCTAGAGAGTACAGGAGCAAAAACCAGGTGACCCAAGACAAGTTTATAAACCATTAAATTTTATAAGCCCGCTTGCCGAGGAGTGAGCCGAACCGCGCGGGGGGTCTCCCGGTTAAACTACAGTATCAGAAATGGGGGTAAAACTGATACGGCATCAGTACGGCATTGTGAGAATATGCCGCTTTATCTCCGTTTTTGACGAAGTAAATGGTAGTGTTACTGTAGTGGTATGGCATTGCTAAAGACTGCGGTAGTCATTTTATCCATGTTTCTGTCACTGTACTTGGGAACCGTACGGGCCCAATACCGCTAGGCCATTAGGAAGTTCAGAGTTTTGAACTGCAGCAATTTAATGAGCCAAACCTTTAACTTTATGCAGGCTTGGCATTCCCACACATCCACACCTTGAGCAATGTATCATGGCTATATTTCTAGTATCATAAAGCCAATTAACTGTTTAGACCATAAATAAATTGGTGAATCCATTGTTGGGGACGTCGACCATTCTATCATGATCAGTCACTCGTGCCTTGGGGCGACCCGCCCCACTATTCCTCATTCAACCTTGGTCAGTTTTGCGTGGTAGGGGATCCGGGACACCAACCAAGGCAAAAGACTGTATCTTAGATCTCTGAACGTACTCCAACCACCGCGATCACCCCCGCAACAAGTTCATGTATATTTTGCCTTCCAAATCGGCACATACTCTACATACTCTATGCAGAGAACTATATGTATTCTCCTTGTCGCACAGCATCCCCGGTACCAAACTCCCGGTGCGCAAACCCCGCTTGATCAACTGAGCTAGCTATGATCGATACAACAGACCGAAGGGCTCACCGATTCCCGTTCTCGGATTTCGGGACGTCGAGCCCAAGACATACGAGCAGTCTTACAACTCCGAAACAGCTGTAACATGCGAAACGCACCCTTCCACGTGAGACGAGTTTCCCTTGGGTTACAGCTATGTAGAGTACTCTACATACATGTACTAATTAGTGATGTTTCCAGATACCAATTATCACAACATCACTGTTGTGACAGTTATGTATGTAGTTAAATTTACATACAGGCGCGCGCAGATAGATACAAGTACCAACTTCTTGGCTATAGGCGTGTAATATCTACACCTGTTACAAACTTACAATGTAGTAGGTACAGACCGTACAGTTGGCTCGTACAAGTCTCGATCGATATGAGAAGGAGGCTGAGACGCGTGGCCGATTATTTCTCCGAAATTTCCAGGCCTTTAAGGCTTGGCATTAAGCCTACATGTAGATAGGGGCATATATGTACTACTACAGTACCGTAGTTAGCTGGAAGTTATTAAGCCTCGTACTCTAGAGTAGAGTAGTAACTACATGTACATGTACATGTTGCTCTCCGTTACTTACGTGTAGAGCAGGTAGGTACTCTACCACTGTGATGTATTCTCAAGAGAACCCCCACGTCCCCTTTCGCCGTTCGATTGGCCCGGACTTTCCCAAGTTAGTGATCATCCGGCGGCATACCTAGAGATTCCCTTATTTTGAGAAAGAATTTCGCGTGTCAAGGTGTCAAGGTGTCAAGGTGTCAAGGGAAGCAAAAGCCCCCTGTACTCTACCTACTCTAGCTAGGTACCAAGGCAGGGACTCCCAGATTGCCATGATCTTTAAATAAGTTCCAAGAAAAAGCGAAAAGAGATGGTGCCCAAGCTACCTCCCAAGCCACAACCCCCCATTTTCCCTAATTGCCGAGGGCACTCCCACGTCTTCAAACCAGTTGTTCCTGCCTCAAACAATACATACATACCCTGGACTTGTATGCGTGCTGCAGAATTGCATCAGGGCAACTCAAGCTGACATAGTTTGCTTGTTCGTTGTTTCTGGCATCTTTGTCATTGTGTTGTGTTTCTTTTCTTTTCTTTTTTTCCCTTTTTCTTTTTCTCGAATCGATATCCGATCACTCACCGTACCTCTCTCCTTTAACATTTACTATCGTTCATTTTTTTTTGACCTTTTGTGATTTTTCTTTTCTTCTTCTTCTTCTCCTTTAAGTCCCTCGTTTCGGTTCGATTCGTCCGTTTATTCCAATATATTTCGAGATGGCTATTATACCCATTCCACCACTATCAAAATTCTCAAAGCGTGCCGATGAATGGGATGACGGCGATAATTGGCCTGGTAGTAACTGGTACTGGAGTGACGTACGCTTGTTCTCCCTCTCTCATTCGGCCTTAGATACACAGTATACTGATCATGGTGTATGCATTCTTACCTATAGGAGGCACGGAATATCAAATACGGCGTTTTGTTTGGTATACTGATCCTCGCCTTCCTGGTAATCATGGGGATGTGGCTCCACGCGGACCGGAGGATGAAAGCTGGGAACGCACCACTGCCATACCACCGAGTACATTTCTCCCATATCCAGTTCGCACATGAGGTCGCATGAGCAATACTGACGCCTATATTGTTAATAGTGGCTAGTAGCACGTCACCGCAGAGCACAATGGGAGCCACAACTCCAGCAGCCAGAGCAGCAGTTCAGCTTTTACCAGCACCAGCAGCATCAGCGGCAACAAGAGACCGACTACTCCATGCATACTGTTCCACCACCAGGTATGATTTGCGTGGGATTGAGATTAGAGGGGTAGTTGATGTGGTTCAACTTCAACTTGTAGTGGTCGTCATGGTTGAATGAGTGGTTGATATAAGGTGACGCTAACTAATGTTGCTTGCTTGCGTGCAGCTTACAACCCCAACTACGCCCAGCCCCCGGTCTACACCGGCGGCCCACCAATCGGCTCATCAAAAGTCCATCCCTCCCAACATCCCGCGAACCAGATGCAGAGCCAGAACCCGTACTACAATAGCAGCGCCGGTGAAGGGAGCAGCAGTGGAGGGCCAACTTATCCCCCACCTGTGGGTGCTCCTGTGTATCATGGGCAGCACACGCAATAAGATGAAGTAGACCGCTAGCTTGGAAATGGTTGAAACCTCACCTGGTACTGGAGGGTAACATACGGAACAGCACTAGGAATTAAGGGAGCCGGAGGGGTGATGGAAGGGTTTATTTGGCTGCAATTTTTCTTTCCGGTTTGGTGCATTTGATATGGATTTGGGGGGCTTGGAGGCGGTGTTGATCTTTATTTGTTACCTTTTTTCTTCATTTCATTTTATTGTTTTTACATCTGATATTAGCTTCCTTTTTCTTCTTTCTTCCTTTTTGTTTGAGTGCATATGGACCAGCTGGAACTCCCCCGTCTCTCTCTTTGTTTCTTGGCAGGTCGTGACTAACCTGCTTTTTTATTTTTCCGGGACTGGATTCTCAGAGGGATAGGTACTACTTTTGCTTTTTTTTTTTTTTTTTTTTGGGGGGGGGGGGGGGGGGGGCGGAAGGTTGTGATGGATATCTGCAGCGGTTTCTTCAGTCCTTTCTTCTTTCTTTTTTTGACTGCGTACATTTCTTTCCACATATGCATGTTTGGTCATTGTTGCAACTACATGGACATGTAGTACTGCACTCACTATCGCTAGCTCACTCGAGACATCCTTCTTATTTCCTGTTTTACAAACCAATTGATCAATCCGATCAACCCGATCACTCGGATTATTAAATTACAAAATAAAATAATAAAAAAAGATAAGCAAATGAAAGAACCAGACACCATTATAAAACGCCTAAAAAGAAAAAAAAATCATCCTGAAGAGAGAGTCCCCTACTCAATATCCATAGCATCAGGGTCCCTCTCACTCTCAAATACCCCACCATCTATCACCTCACTATTTATATTCACGTTTGCTCTTGCTTCTTCCGCCTGCTTCTTCCGTATTCTTTCCCGGGCTTCAATGATGGCCCTTTTCACGTCGTCCTGCTCCGCCGACACCGTAAGCGATGTCGGCACCGTATAGAGCACCAATGCCGTACTCGTCCCGGCCTTTTGCGGTTGCCGCATCTCGCCGCCGCCGCTACTTCCCCGTGCAATATCATATGGTACCCTTGTGAGCTTCTTCTCGATATCCGGCAGGAACACGATTCCCTTCGCATCTTCGTCCTCGTCGCTCGAGAGCTCGTCATCAAGGTTATGCACAAACACCACGTTTGAATTGTCATTATCGACTTCCATACTATCGTCATCATGGTGCGCGCGGGTAATAGTAGTGACGGGGACAGTCTTGTGTAACTGCGCTGTTATATCGTTCGATATTCTTAGCGTGCCATCGGGGTAGATAAGATAGCCAGTGGCAGTGGTGATAGTACCTCGAGCCAGGTTGCTGTGATGCTTCTTCTCAAAGTGGATGCTGAGCATCGCGAGCTTCTTGGAGAGCGGCTGTTCAGCCTGGAGGTCGTTGTCGTCGCCTGGGGGTCGTTTCCGCCCCGTGCATGGGTTTGCAGTCCAGTCCATTGTCATGCTATGGCATTCGGGATGCTGGATGCTGGATGCTGGATGCTAGTTATTATGTTTTTGCAATTGGTGATCTGCGTCGCTAGGTAGGAGCAACTTGGATATACTGAGGTAAATGGGTAGAGTTGTGGGTAGGGGTAATCTTTACTTATGACATCGTAGGGATTTTAAACTCGACCGGTCGTCGACGGGGTGTTCTTTCGTTGTGGTGCGGTCTGGAAGCTTATAGAATGCACTCGATACATCTTCCCCGCGTGCATGCAATACCTACTCTATGTAGGTACTCTAGAACTACATGTATACTCTACATACACATTTTCGACAATTGACGCTCAAAATTGACACTTCCCCTCCATAGGGATATGAAATGCATATGCGCAAGCCGCAAAATGACACTTGTGGATGCCACTTTGGAGAGTGACGAAGCGCCAATTGTCAGAATTGACGGTTAGTAAATACGCTCTAATAGGGTGGAGCTCGAGCAGAGTAATGTGTGTACATGTAATTTATGTAAATACCAAGTATGTAGATACATGTAGGTATATTTTGTTTCCAGGAACGGACCAAAACAGGCTCAATACACGTGCTGTCAAGATCACAGAGTGTGGGAACGCGCGATTCAGGCACTAGACTAACTCAGGTAAGCAGAATGCAGCCTTGTTTAGCTGCGCATCAGCCTCACTCGCCCTGTCCACAATGTATTTACCTACATAGGTCATCATCACCATATAGAACAACCCCAGGGCTCTACGGGCTAAGATTGTATATAAAAAGGGTATTAGAGCGTATTTGCCAACCGTCAATTTCAAGAATTTACAAATTGTGGGGCTCCGAAATGGCAACCGGGGCTGTTAATTTTGAATTTCGGTGGGGCGGCGTGCTGTGAGATATACCAGGAGGATCACAAGTACCCAGTTTTGTTACTACCGAAGCTAGTATCATGGTGAATTTTCAGTTCCAACAGCGTACTTCACAGGTAGCGTGATGGGTTGTCTGGTTTTCGGGGTTTATTCTGTCATACCGTTAACCAGATCGATTTTGGCCACTGCGGGGAACTGTCAATTTTGCCTCCCGAAACTGTCAAGTTTGAAGTGTCAATAGTTGAAATTGACGGTTGGCAAATACGCTCTATTATCGCCAGTTAGTGACGATATATGTACAGATTCTGGTAGAATTAATGCGAAAGTGGGTTTTCCGTGACCCGATAGTCCCATTGGCCCTCAAAGGAATTTTTGCAGTGAGCACGGGCCAAGAAACCCACCCTTTTCGTTCTGACTTTCGCAATAATTCTACCGGATACTGTACATAGATAAAATGTATCTTGATTGTTTGTTACGGTGCTACATAAAGCTATATTTATAGTAATTTGCTTAAAGCCGGAGATGTAGACCCAAGAGCATTAGTTACAAGTACATATCTCCAGTGGATGATATTATGACTTACAATACAATGTATACGTATATATATATCCAGAAAGTCTTTTATGATTGAACACTCACTGCTTGTATTCATGATCGGGAGTACATCAAACATAGCACCCGAATCATTAAAGTTTTCTTTTCCCCTGCCCGCCCAGTGAAGATATACATAAGACGATCCGTCATAAATCAAGCAGTATAAAGCCGCGTGTAAAAGACGCGAGAAGAAGTCGCAAGATATTTCAGTTTGCCTTGAACACGCCTCCCAGACAAATAAACCATACACCTATGGGAAAAAATGAAAATGGAGAAAAATGAAAGCGAGACCAAACACCCTAGCTATTTACTTTTCCCTATTGTGTGAAAAGAAGTGCCCGAAACAATAAATGAAATGGATAGAAAGGGAAAGTAAAGAAACGCGGCACCGAAGCCAAGCTTTGTAGCCAAGAGGTGCTGCATGGTTCCTTTCGCAGATAGATATCACCCAAATATTTTGGTTTTGTAGATAGAAACTTTGGGGCCAGAAAGAAACGTCAAGCCCGCAGTAGAATGTCATTAATCACTTCTTAACAAGCCGGACCGAATCAAGGTAATGGGTGGGACACTACTGTTGATGCTGCACGGTCTGGTTCTCCATCAATGAGGAGACAAATACCCCAGAAAAAAAATAGTAGAATGGAGAAATATAGAAAGAAGACAGCGCCCTATACAGCCAAACAAAAAAACGAACGCCAACACCCTCACAAAAAAAGAAAAAAAGGATGATGTATCATCCCTCATTAGCAACGTGGCACTTAAGTTTTAATATCAATGTGTCTCCGGTAAAGGCGCTGGTGTAGCTGCGGGTGTGGGTCCTCGCACGCTTGGAGTGACCGTTCTACTCGGAACTGCTACCTCACCAGCCTCCAAATCCCTTGGTGTTGGTTCACCCCGACCTCTCCTGATAGATAGTAAAGATACACCGCCAAATGGATTCCTTAACCACCGATTCCTCCTACCCTCAGTTTCCTCTAGTCTGTTCTGGGCAGGTGTTGAAGGAGCCGTGTTTCTGCCGCGATTATCGCCATTACCATCACTGTTTCGACTTGTTCGCCCTTCACTCCCATAATATGGTGCCATAAACCTCCCCGGGCTGAACAACATCCGTCTATGGAATGGCGGCCCTATATATGCATCTGGAGGGGCTGCTACCGGCTCCCTCTCTGTATTTTGTCTCCTTGACCTTCTCGAATCGTCGTTGGGTTCCCCCTCCGGCCTGGGTTTCGGAGTATAATAGTCCGCTTTACACAACGGACAGCATGCACGCCGACTAGTAAGCCAAGGATCGATACATTGTGCGTGAAATGCATGGCCACAGGTGAGCCCACGGATTTCATCGTCGTCGTCGATGGTGTCTAAACAAATTGCACAAGCGTCGCCGACATTATTGAGGAGTTCAGAATTAACATGGTGGTCATCATCTTCCTCAATATCATCGGTAGTATGCTTCGGATCAACATCAGAGATCTCGGACAAACGTTTATTTTCGTCTGCTGATGTATCTGCGTTGGGTAAGACTGAGCTACCTGCAGATTGTTCTTTTATTAATGCGGGAGGAACAGGAGGGGCTGCTTCTGCGGAGGCCAACACTTCCTTGAGTAGCGCGGGGTTTGCGTTTGCGGACTGGGTTGAAGTGCCTTCAACCGGGGATATAGCGGCTTCGATTTGCTTTACGCTTACAGGTCTGCTGTTTGGAGCTGTTTTAATACCTCCCTCTGATGGAAGTCCCATTCGTTCCCTATGTGCACGCCAAGTTTTGTATTTAAGTGACGGGAACCGTTCGTTAACCTCATCGGTGGTCATGAGTTTCTTTTCTCTGCGTCGCCGATGCGGCCGGGGCATGGTTTGTAGGTCGACGGGTTCCTCCTCACCATTCGCGCGGGCACGTTGACGGGCATTGTAGCGGAAGCAGTATTTGACGCCGACGATAATCCTAGATTCACGAACTCGGTTGGCCGTGGCGCGCTGAACCCACAGAAACAGAAACCTACCAAAGATTTGTAAATACAACCCCAAATCCCAGAGCAACAAAGAAGAGTAAGGGCGAATTTGTGGGTCCGCCGCCGCCGCCGCCACCACCACCGTTATTGTTAATGGGCGTTGGAGTAGTGGTGGGGGTAGTGAGGGCGGATGTAATGGTACCCATGAAATTGCTCGTTAACGAGCTTGTTGACGACATCGTATCGAGATGATTAAGGGAGCGATGAGAATCTTAGGAGGATGGCGGGGAGTTAGATTTTTTTAGGCGTTTTAGACTCCCATATGAGGCTGACGTGCCAAAATGCAACCGACAGGTGAGTAGTTGATTTATGTGATTTAGGTGATTAGGTGATTAGAGGGAGAGGAAGCGGTGGAGGTGGTGGAGGAGAGAAAACAGAACCGCTTTGTGGGGACCAGCGACTTATTGGAAGGGATCAAAAAAATCAATAAACAAAATAGAAAGAAAGAAAGAAAAGAAGAATAAAGAGCCGATAACCAAGCAGGTGTCTATGGTGTGATTTTGGGGAGATCGGAGTAGAAGCAGGTAGGATACAAAAACAACAAAGGGCGGGTGACTCGTGGTGAATATATCTCGAGATGGAACGGGATTTTCTTATTCAGGTTTCTGGGTGGTGGATGAATGGATGGATTCAGCCTTCCCTGCTGCCGAATGTAGAAGATGATGAGGGCTTCTTGTTGGAAACAGCCAGCAGCAGCAGCAGCAGGCAGCGAATACCCGACGTGACTATGAATGGTGTGGTGGGCTATGATTACGAGCGTGAACCCAAAATCGCGTCTGTTTGCTTAGGAGAAGATGAAGGATGCAGACAGATGGACGATAACGAAGCGAAGTATGAAAGAACTCCAAAATCTATCTTACACTTCTCACTCCAAACTTCATGGGTCAAATGGGGAGGTGTGGGGTGGATACATATCTAGAGTTTACCCTTGTCACTTCTCGTTGAATACTGGGCATTGAGCGATCAATCAAGTCAAAACCGTCAAGATCCCTCCCTCCTTGGGTCGGCGGAGCCTTCTCTCTTTGAGCCGTGCTCCTCAGACTAATTTTCTAACCCAACCTCTGACCAACCACATGTCACATCAAGTGTGCAAGCATGCTAAGGCCGGGTCAGCTGCAAGGTCGTGCTTGCATCTTTGTCTGGGATTTGATCTGATACTTTCTATTTTCAGCCATAAATACCCAATTTGAGAGCGTTCAGATCTAATGCGTACTACTCAACTATGGAGTGGCGGTGATCTCTCATTCAACCCGGTCCCATCACGTGATATCAGGTATACACGCAGCGGTAACAAGTAGCCGAAAATGCAAGCCCTAATCTGCAATTGCCATTGGAGCCGAAGTCAAAAATACTCCAAAACCTTGCAGCTGCATTTCGGATACTTCAGGACAGTTGGGTGTATGGTACTATAGGTAACGAGGGCGGTCTCTCAAGCGCCTATTATTCGACACGAGTTATTACATGTATTTATTGTTCTAAGATCTAAAAGAGATAAAACCTTAATTGGGGATATCCAGCTTATTACAGTTCCAATTGAAGCGCACCGAACTTCCTCTAACAAAAGAAATCTTACCTTCAAGTGTTTCCCATTAAGCTTAAGGTAGGTAAAGCATAGGATGTTTGCTTTCTAATTGGCGAATGGTAATATGGATTGGTTGGCAACCTGATCTAGAAAGTAAGCAGAGACATATTAGGCCCACGACGGCGTGGATATTCAGGAAATCTAGTTACCTACAGTATGGAGTCTGTAATGGCAACTATGTATTTTGACTAGGTAATAAAGTGGAACAAGACGAGGAGGTATTGTGTATTGGGATTAGGATTTGTAATGGGGATTTCTGTTATGTTCTTTTAGTTTCTGTTATGCGGAGGTATTAGTCATCATCGGACTATGGTTGGATATATAAGGGGGAGTTGTTTCGTGCTTTTGTTTGTTTTCTCTCTTTCCTTCTTTCTTTACGCAACCTCTGTATTCATTCGCTCGCCTCTGGCTCGCGATGGATTTCTTTCCCCCCGAGATGGAGTTATACTGATTCTCGAATTGCTTCGGTCCCTGAACTTCCCTCGCTCGACACCCCCCCTTCTTTGTTCGTTCGGTGCCCTCACGGGATGCGTCCACCGTTCACCCCTCGCCAAAATAACGGCTACTCTCGAAAGCCGTCTTCGCCCCTCCTTATTTTCACTCATCGCACGAGTGATCCCACACGTCGGGTACGCACACTGTCAGTAATCTCCAGTCAGCGAGAACCTACTGCCAAAGCGCTCGACAGCCCGCGAAGTTAGCGACCTCTCGGTCGCGAAACTATCGTCAAATTTTTTACCCGAGGTCCCGTGACCTTACCCCTCTCTATCGGCCTTAACCAGGCAACCCATTCTTACCCGAGGCGGCCCGCTCCCCTCACCCCAACCCAACCGGTCTCCGAGACCACCCCTCAACACAATACGGTCGGCACTTTCGATTGCGACCCCCATACATACTGAGTCTCAGACTCAACCCCTTTTGCATGTCCCCTCCAAAGGACACCACTTCAAATACGACTCGGGCACAGTCTTTAGCCGTTGCTCCTGGGACCGACGACCCCACCCATCCTTATCTGACCTACCGGTCACCACTCCTCAATTCCTCGCTGCCTGACAACCAGATGCCCGAGGACCCATATTCGACTCACCCCCCTCGCTTTCACCCCTGACGCTGTTGCGGTTGGCCTTTCCTGCCTTCGTGCGCGTGGTTTCCCAGTCCTGTTAAGGTTCGTCCACAGATATGACACCGGGAACGTTGGTAATGATATCGTTTCGATTGAACGCCATGTTTAGGATTGTGCTCGCTAATGCAGTTGACGGAGAAGTTTGGGGTTCTTACTTATTTACTACGGGGAGGTTTCTTTGTTGTCGCTTAGATTCTGCTTACCTGTACCACTTGTTATTCGCGCCCTCTTCGTGCGCTGTTTTTCTCTTTTATTATGTACGTGGTTCTTGTAGCTGCGGTAGTTAGTTTTGTACTTTGTTTTTTGTTTTCGGGTTAGTCGGTGGAGGTTGTAGTCGGGTAGTTAGGTGTGCGATAAGCTTCGGCTTCTAAGCAATATAAGTTTCTTCTTCTTCTTCTTCTGTATTCATTCGGCTCGCTAAGGCTCGCAAAAACTTCCTGATAACAAATCTCGCTTCGAAATTATCGTATACTTTACTTGCTCTACCTTTTACTTCTCATCACTTTGGTTTACCCTGGTATACCATACCAGGCTGAGCCTCCTCGTCCCTGACCGTACGGTCGCGTTTGTTGCTCTAAGCGAAAGAAACCCAACGAAAACTGGCTTCTAGCGAAGAATTCTCCAGTCTTGACCTCCCGAAAGGAAGGAAAAGAAACTTATCCGAAACATCAATCTACGCCGCCAGAAGAACCGGACATTCAGTCATGTCGCAGCAAGCTTCACTCCAGTCCTTTTTCACCCAATCTTCCCCACAAGGGACAGCCCCCTCACAGAACAGGAACACTCAGGATCCCGACCCAACCCCATCCGGAATACAGGAACAGGAATTCTCCTCGACCTTCGCAACAGAATCTGACTACAACGACCCTTACCAACCGAGAATTGACTATCTCTATCCGAGCACTATCCCCCATACTACTCACACCCAGACAGACCTAAACTACATCACCTGGGCCATTAGACATGCAACCAGCCGGATCTGCCCGCCCTCCGACAGGATTGAAATCCTCGAGGAGCAATCGATTACACTCCGGAGAACAGTGGAAATACTGAAACACCAAATCGAGGCACAAACAATGATGATTACCAACATGCATTCGGCGATCCATTCTCTCCTCAACAAACCCCAACCGCAGCAACAACAGCAACAGCAACAACCACAACAACCGCAACAGAGACAAAGAACGGCCCCTCCAGCGGCCCCCCAAACAGTCCCCCAAGCAGCGCCACAGGCAGCTCCTCAGGCCCCCCCACCCACACCTCCCCAACAAGCCCCACCCCGTGGATGGAAAGCAGGCACCTGGGCCGCCGTGGCCTCGGCAGCCGTCCCTGCTCAGAAATTCCAGGTGGTCGAAAGAAAGAAGCCTGCAAAGCCAAAAGCGGATCCCATCTTCAAACCAGAGTATACCAAAATCAACAGAGAAATCATTGTTGAAACCACTGCCCCATCCGACGTCAACCCCTCCGAGATCAGGACTCTGGTCAACGCAAGAATCAAGGACGAATCCTGCCACTTCATCTCAGCAAGGAGAACAGCCAAGGATAACTTCATCCTAGAAACAAAGTTCATTACCCCCGCAACAAAGGCAATGGAATATGCCAAAGAAATTGAGGAGGCCCTCCTCACCCTACAAGTACCGGTCGCCAACATCCGTGCAAACTCCAAATGGTCAAAGTTCCTTCTCCACGGAATCCCCACAACGGTCGGGGAGGGCATCGAGGCAGGACAATTGGTAGCATCCGAAATCAGAAGCAACTATGGAGAGAACTTCCAACTGGCCCAGGTTCCCCGCTGGATCTCCAGAGCAGAGACTCGAATGGAGAAAATCCACTCATCAATGGTCATCGCGCTCCCAGGACAAATCACAACGGAAACACTAGGAGTTAAATTCCTATCTCTTTTTAACCGAAGCTGCTATATCGAGGCCTTCCTCCCAACCTTCCCAGACACCCAGTGTGCGAAGTGCCTCGAATACGGCCACCGCCAGGAGAAATGCAAGAACAATGGGAAATGCGGCCACTGCGCCGGAGATCACCTCACCAGCTTCCACCCATGTAATGAATGCCAGGGAGGATATAAATGCACCCACACCCCAATCAGATGCCTGAACTACAAAGGAATCCATAAGCCCTCCGACCCAGCATGCCCCGAAAGGGTCAAACGCCGATTCCTCAACAAAGGAAAAGAAAACGCCCCACCCGCTCAAGACCCACCTGCCGCACCCGTCCAAGAGTTACTCCCAATAGTCCAAGTACCAGCTACCGCCCCGGTCGAAGCCACACCCGTTCCCGAAGACGACCAACACATGACGAATAATGCCTAGACACCGAACCACCGCGCTCGCACACCAACTTAACTGTGCACGGAGCGAACTAATCACCAAGGCGGCGGTGGAGGAAGCGGAAACAGACTCTAGTATTTATTTCCTATTATTACAAGAACCATGGACCTCAACAGAGGGATACCCACCAGAATCAAATCTCTTTTACCTTTTTACAGCCAGCAATACCAATACAAAATGCGCAACATATGTCCGTAAACACACCAACCTTAAACCAAAACACCACTACACACATGACAATTTCATAGTTTCGATCACGGTAGAAATCCAGAACAAGAAAACCCAAATCCTAAACATATACTCCCCAGGCCGAAGTGGCCCCTTCGCCCAAATAGCAAACACAATCCAAACCCTCGACAATTCCCTAGTAATGGGAGACTTCAACTGCCACCACCAAATGTGGTACGGAGTAACCTCACATGAATACAGGAACAACATTCGAGCAGACCGCGTCAATGGTGCACGGCTAAAACAGTGGATAACCCGACAGAAACTGACCCTCCTGAACGAGCCAGGAGTCTATACGCACTTCCCTAGAGACAGAGGGAAAAGGCCCACAATCATCGACCTTGCATTTGTAAAAGGCCCAACACTTGACCACAACCTACGATGGAGCACTGAACCCTACGGAGCGGGCTCAGACCACGGGAGAACCTCTGTCCATATACACCTGGAAAAACCACCCTTTGTACCAAGACGAATGTGGCGACAAACAGACTGGAAGCTATTGGATAACCACATATCAAATCTTTCCCTCCCCGCAGAGGCATGGGAAACCAAGGAATGTACGGAACAAACGGTCGAATTCTTCCTAGAACTGGTCAAGTCAACAATCAACATAGTAACACCACTCTCGAAGGAGGGCGTAAGGGCCAATTCCTGGTGGACAGACGAAATGAAACAGATGAAGGCAAAGGTAAACTCGGCAGAAAGAAAGGCAAGAAATACAAAAAAACCCAACCATGTGGAGGAGCACCGGAAGGTATGCAGAGAATGGACAGTCATGATCCGGAAAGCAAAAGCGGACCAGCGGGAAAAGACGTTGAACGAAGCGAAAGGTAGTGAGGTCTGGAGAATCCTAAACGCAGGAAGGAGAAGAGACACAATCATACCAACCATACAAGGTGAAGAAACGTTTGCAGGGAAGTGTCAAGCTCTAAGAGCCCAACTCTTCCCCTCAAAACGGACGTCCCCCGACCACCCCCCTCTAAACATTAGACCCCCCTCTTTTGACCTTAGCAACACTTTCGACACAGTCACCCCCGAAGAACTCAAGAAAGCAATCGACTCCTGCCCAGCGCACTCGGCGACCGGCCCGGATGGCATCCCCTATACCTTTATCAAAGCAATAGTTAAAGCGAACACAACTCTAATCCAAGACATGTTCTCCGCCATGCTTCGGCACGGAGTACATCCAGCGGAATGGAAAATAGCAAAATGCATCCCGATCCCGAAACCCGGCAAGGCAAATCATCACGAAGCAAAAGCCTATCGGCCCATCTCCCTTCTACAATGCTTCAGCAAAATCCTGGAAAAAATAGTGGCTCAAAGACTCTGCACCGCTGGAGAAATCCTAGGCACACTCTCAGCGAATCAATTTGGAGGAAGATCAACCATCTCAGCAGTCGACGCCCTCTTAAGAACCCTAACACCAGTACAACAAAACCTACTACTGAAGAACAGCACCGGAGTCGCCCGGCGGGACAGACCAGCGATCCTAACCAACAATATTCAAGGAGCATTTAACTGTGTAGACCACCTACTCCTCGCAGAAATCATGCACCAGCAAAAATTCCCCACCTACCTAACAGAATGGTGCAAGGAATTCAACACCGGCAGAAAACTACAGTTCCAATTTAACCATGAACTAGAGGAACCACAGCCCTATGAATCTGGAGTCCCGCAAGGTAGCCCCATGTCCCCGGTACTATTTATGATATATGCCGGAGTAATCCTGGACCCAACAAGCAGCCCGAAAGAGATGGACACTACATACATCGATGATGATGCGCTGGTGCAAATATCCAAAACACCAGGCTTCATAATCAAAAGAATGGAGGAACGAATGAAAGAAAGACTAATAAAAGCCGAGCCACTCCAAATTAAATACGACCCGGACAAATCTGACCTGATCTTCTTCCGCCCCACCACATCATCTGTACAACAACCACGACTTCCAGTCAAAATCAACAACACCGCTATATACCCCAAAGAGAGGCTGAAATATGTAGGAGTCTGGATAGATCCGACCCTCTCCTTCCGGCCCCATATCGAAGCAGCAATCGCAAAAGGCCTGAAAGCCCTCCACCAAATCCGAAATACTGCCCGCCTGCCAGGCACAACAGTTAAGACAATCCACCACCTAATAACACAAGGCTTCCTTCCAAGTCTGCTCTACGGATCCGAGGCTTGGTGGACTGGCGCAGACCACATTATAAGATCCCTCGAACCACTATACAATGAAGCTGCCTGGGTCATCACAGGCCTACCACGATGGACCAAGAGAGCTAAACTCCTCCGAGAAGCAGGCCTACCCCCCCTAGAACACCTCCTGACATATCGCTCAAGAAAGTACGGAACCAGAATACTTTGCACCGATGCAACCCACCCCAACAATGAATCCCTGATCGAGCTCCTCCCATACAAAGAAGCAAACATCAAAGGGACAGGCCTGCACCGAATCGCCTCCCTCTTACTCCCATACCAAACCCCCGGAAATATGAGAGACAAGTGGAATCAAAACAAACTATTACGCGACCATCTGTTAGAAGAATGGAATACACAACCAATACCTAACTACCACCATCGGGGGGAATTCCGCCCCCCTCCCAAGATTGCGAAACTTACCCTTACAGAAACGAAAAAGGTATTTCGAATCCGATGTCAAACCACCCGAATCGACAAACATGCAGTAAATACAGACCCCGAACCATGCCAGTGTGGCATGGAAAACTCAGCGAAACATACACTTATGGAATGCCCAGCGTGGGCTCGAATCCGCGCCCCTCTGATAGAGAAAATCCCCGGAGCGATGACCTGGGAAAACTGGATGTTCAAAAACCTGAAAACGGACCACATCCTACAATTTGCAAAGAAATCTCAACTCTCGAAATGGTACGAGTCGGGGGAGGCGGAGGCGGACCTGGAAGAGGGGATGGAAGAAAACAATTAGGGACGGGACTAGGAAGGGTAGTTTCCTTTTACCTTTATTCTCGCTTTTGTTTTTTAATTTTTCGATGGATCCAGCGCCTGAGTCCGCTGAGATATGTTATTTTCCTTGTCGTTGGATTTCTTTGGTGGTGTGTTGTCTTTGAAAGTCCTTGTCTTTGTTTGTGTTTGTTTTGTTCTTGTTTGTTCGTGTTCGTTGTTCGTTGTTTTTCTTTTCGTTTCTTTTCTGTTTTGGTTTTTGTTTTAGGCGGTCGGGTCGGCGTGCGATAAGTCTTGTACTTCAAAGCAATATAAGTTTCTTATTCTTCTTCTGTATTCTACGCTACGAATATTACTTTGTTCTATACTACGTCATAGGGTTCATCCTGATTCTTTAATCAGGAAGTACCGTCCCATAGTCCATAGTCCTGACACCTTCATACTACATCTCGTCTTCGGTTGTATTCCTTAGCATCACAGTCCATCGTCTATAGTCCCCGTGATAGTCTGACGTCACCACGAATGCTCCCGCAAATGATTTCAGAGCACTCACCAATGCTCATATATGTAACGTGGGTCTATGGACGAGGGACTATAGTGCCAAGGAATACAACCGAGGCAAGAACGTTGTAGAATATATTCGTGACTATGGACTATGAGGTGATTCAATCCTGATCGGAGATCCAAGATGAGCCCTATGACGTAGCGTAGAACAAAAGTAATATTCGTGGAATAAATACAGAGGTTGCGTAAAGAAAGAAGGAAAGAGAGAAAACCAATAAAAGCACGAAGCAACGCCCCCTTATATATCCAACCATAGTCCAATAATGACTAATACCTCCGCGTAATAGAAACTAAAAGAACATAACAGAAATCCCGATTACAAATCCTAATCCCATTACACAATACCTCTTCGTTTCGTACCAATCTATTACTTTAGCCGAAGTACATAGATGCCGTTACAGACCACGCCCCCCTCTAAGGCCTACCTCCTGGTAGGCTTAGGCTTCTCTGGATAGCGCTCGTGGAATCGTTTAACGATATCAGGTGAATGCTCAAGGTCCGATAGTGGTTGCCAGGAGGCTTCATCATATCCTCTATATCGTACTAAGAACTCAAACCTTCCTCTTCGTTTCCTCGAATCCAAAATATCTTCGACTTCCCATTCTTCTTCTCCTTCGATCTCAACCGGAGGTGGTGGCGACTGTTGTTGTCCAGGTAAAGGATTACCTGCTTCAGGAGACAATAATGAGACATGAAATACTGGATGTATTTTCATCGACCGGGGAAGTTCCAATTCGTAAGCATAGGGATTAACGATCCGTTTAATACTATAGGGTCCAATACGTTTCCAATCGAATTTCTTAGAAGGTCGCTTCGTTAGAATATGACGTGTCGATAGGAAAACTTTATCTCCCAAATTGTAACGAGGGGCTGGAGTTCGATTCGCATTGGCGGATTCTTCTTGTATTCTTTGTGCTCGGAACATTTCGTCTTTTAGAAATCCCACTATCTCTTCCATTTCCCGTGCGATGCTATTAGCTTGGTCCTCCGCAGTGGTCCTACCATGTTCTAAAAGGCCAAAGGTCATTCTTGGATTTCTTCCCAAATTGGCATAAAACGGGGAGACCTTTGTTGTTTCGGAGGCATGATTGTTTGTCGCAAACTCAGCCATTGGTAACATTCGAGCCCAATCATCCTGTTGGTAGGAAACATAGCTTCGGAGGTACTGTTCCATTATGGCATTGATTCTTTCCGTTTGTCCGTCTGTTTGAGGATGAAATGCGGTAGAGAATTTTGGTAATATTTCTAGACGGTTACAAAGTGACCTCCAGAATTCTGCAACGAACTGTGTTCCTCGATCTGATACAATAGTATCTGGTAGTCCGTGTAGCTTCCAAACATTATCGATACATAGCCTCGCTACTTCTCTCGAATCCACTTCTTTGGTTGTTGGTATCAAATGTCGCATTTTGGTTAACCTATCAACCACGACCAAGATTGCATCATATCCCTCACTCTCAGGAAGATCGGTAACAAAATCCATTGACACATCCGTCCACGGTCCATCAGGTATTGGCATCGGACGAAGTACCCCATAGGGTGCATTTCGAGGCGCCTTACTACGGATGCACACATTGCAATTTTTAACATATTGATCGACGTATCTTCGCATCTGTGGCCAATAATATTCTCGACTTAGGAGTTCTAAGGTCTTCGCTCTACCTGGATGTCCTGCCGATAGTTTGTCATGGTGTTCTTTTAGAAGCCTCAGCCGAAGATCGTTGTCCTCTGGTACATATAGTGCGCCTCGATAAAGCAACCGACCGTTGTTGTCTTCCGTACATTCGGCAAGCGAAATTTTATTCGAGTGGCGAACGCCATTCCGAAGCATGGTGAGGATCTTGTTTGGAAAACTATCAACTTGGTAAGCTTTTAAAAATAACTCCTCTACAGTGGACGCTCCTTCAGCGGATTCATTTGACAAAGAACCCGCGAACAAACTTAGCTTTGTACTCAAATTTTTTCGCTTCAAAATCACTTGACTCTGATGCGTCAACCGTTCATCCCCCTCTTTAGGTAGGTCACCTGACCTTCTAGTCAATGCATCTGGTTTCGCTCCTTGTTTTCCTGGCCGAAATTGTATAACAAAATCGAAGCGTGAAAGGAATTCAGACCAACGAGCTTGTCGACGATTTAATAGTTTTGTTGTCATAAAATATTCAAGATTCCGATGGTCGCTAAAAACTTCAATTGGAAATTGAGCTCCCTCCAGGTGATGTCGCCATTCTTCAAAGCATCGTATAATTGCCAAAAGTTCCTTATCATAGATTTCATAGTTGCATTCTGCAGGAGAATGTTTTTTGGAAAAGAAAGCGACTGGATGTAGGATTCCTTTATCATCACGTTGAGATAGGATTCCTGCTGAAACATAATCAGATGCATCGGTTTCTATTACAATCCTCCGATCCGGATCAAAATGAACTAGTGTCGGTGCCGTTGTAAACATCTTTTTCAAAGTTTGAAATACTTCCTCCCTATCATCCGTCCATTCGAATTTAACGTTTTTCTTTGTCAAGGCTGTAAGTGGAGCAACAATTTTCGAATATCCGAGAATAAATCGTCGATAGAAATTTGCAAATCCTAGAAATACTTGAACATCATGAAGGTTCGTCGGTGTAGACCATTCCAAAACATCGATAACTTTCTTTGGGTCCATTCTATTTCCATTTGGGGTAAGGATTAAGCAAAGATATTTCGTCTCTTGAACCATAAATTCATATTTTTCAGGTTTAAGGTGAACATGATTCTCATCAAGTACCTTTAAAACCTTTCGGATGTGTTCCTTATGTTCTAATAGAGTTTCGGAGTAGATAAGGATATCGTCTAAATATGCCGTTACGAATTGGTCGAGATAGGGGCGTAAGATATCATTAATCCAATGTTGAAATGTAGCAGGGGCATTAGCTAATCCAAACGGCATTACTGTATGTTCGAAATGTCCATATCGAGTTCGGAATGCCGTCTTCCACTCATCCCCCTCCGCTATTCTAATCTGATTATATCCCCAACGTAAATCCAACTTAGTATAGTATTGTGCTCTTGACAACTTGGCTAGGGTTTCCTTTAACAATGGTAACGGGTATCGATTTTTGATTGTGATTGCATTTAATCCTCGATAATCGACACAAAGTCGAAGGGTTCCATCGCTTTTCTTCACAAACAGTATAGGTGCTCCCGCTGGTGATTCACTAGCCCGAATGAATCCTTTGGGTAAATTTTCATCAAGATATTCCCGTAGTGCTTTCAACTCGATTTGAGACAATCCATATATAGGTCCATATGGTGGTCGTTTACCTTCTTCCAGTACTATTTCAATATCATGGGACGGTCGATGTGGTGGAAGGATTGAAGCGTCATATTCTTTGAACATATGGAGACGATGATGAAACTCCTTTGGTACTAACTTTTCGATGTTGATGGTAGATTTTTCGGTTGCTGAAACGATAACTGTATGGTGTTCCGGTAAAGGAATCGAGATACCATAAGCAATAACCGCAGTTCTACTAAGTGAACAGTGTTGACAACAGTTCCGAGAGTCAAAAATAAGTAGATTTTCTTTTGGTCGAATTGTAACATCATGACGTCGCATCCAAGGTATCCCCATTACGACTGGATAGTGTCCTAACTTCGTTACAAAACATGGCGCAATTTCCTGATGACCATGAATGTCTAGCGAGACATCGACAATATGGGTAATTTTTCCTGATTTGATAGGTCTTCCGTCTATAACGTCTACATGGCGAGGTATTTTAAGGGGGGTCATTATAAGATTGTTGTGGCGTGCAAAAGATTCGTCAATGAAAGCGTATCCTGATGCTCCGGTATCAATAAGAGCGTAGGTGGGGATGAAAGAATTTTTATTCTGCGAAATCGAACAAGTTACTACAAGTTGGTTTCCATCCATTTCCTCCTCTGATACCGAAAAACCAGAAATACACATCCTAGAAAAATCCTTAAACGGTCCCTGAGCTAAGCCACTTAGTGCAGGGACAAATCTTTTGCCGACTCATTATCGCTTCCATCGTTTTCCTCCACCGTCAATGCTGCTCCCCTCATCACAGGTCTTCTTGGTTGATTTCCAGTTGCCCTCGCCTGGGGGCAATCCCTAACCATATGTCCAACACCTCCGCAATAGAAACATCGGCCCTCAACTAAGCGGGCATTTCTTTCGGCAGGGGAGGGGCGACGACGTCCTCCAGATAGATCCATTGGTACATCACCTCCCGGGCGGGACGAGGGATGACTTTCCGTAGCAGGTACATTAGCGACTGGGGCGGCGGCACGGGGAGCAGGAACAGGATTTACTGGTGGGGGACGAGGGGCCGGGGTAGTAGTAACATTCCAAGGTTTTTTACTTCCTCGTTTAGCCTCCGCCGCACGACGACGATTATCCAACCGTTGTAAGAGTGTCGCACAGGCATCTACCGTCGCAGGAGTGTCATGGTGTATCATCGATTCATCGAGTTCCCCATTAATACCTTCCATTAAAGCCTCAATCCGAGAGGCTTCATCCATACCTGACTCAGCAGCATATCGTTGGAACTCAGCGAAATAGTCGGCGAACGTTCGATTTCGTTGACGGATGTTTCGGAGATTCCTCCTAGCCGTGCGCATCCGATCGGGGTCCCCAAAAGCAGTGTCCAAAATCTCATAAAACCGTATCATAGAGGGCAAGGTAATACCTTCTTCCCCGACATACTGTAAGAACTGATTGGCAGCAACGCCTTCCAGTCTACTGAACGCATAGGATAATTTCGATTGTAGGGTGGGATAGCGATCGGTATTTCCCAATAACTTAATTTTCATTTGTTGTTTGAATAGGTGTAATCTTTCTCGATCACGATCTCCCCTGAACACTTCAGGATCCGGAAGTTTCTCTGACCGATAGGTAGTATCTGTAGCGGGTGGTACTGGGGGTGCAGGTGGAACATTGTCCTCGGCGGGTGCTCCCCCAGAGGTAACAGGTTGAACAGCAGTCTGTTGGGCTCGAGCAGCAGCAAGATCTTGTTCAAACATTCTTCTTGCCCTCTCAGCCTCCGCTTCTAACTCTTGTAAATCCGTTGCATATTGAGCAAGACCATGTTGACACTGTTGGAGAAGCGCATAGGCTTCAATTCCAACAACTTCATCAACCTGTGGGTGCGCTTTGAAAAGGGCTTGGAGGCTATTGCTGAGTTGTTGATAATCAATAGATACGTGCTCCGACATTGTAAACTATGGTGTTGTATTGGTTGGCGATAGAGGACGCAACCTACGTGTAACGTGGGTCTATGCACGAGGGACTATAGTGCCAAGGAATACAACCGAGGCAAGAACGTTGTAGAATATATTCGTGACTATGGACTATGAGGTGGTTCAATCCTGATCGGAGATCCAAGATGAGCCCTATGACGTAGCGTAGAACAAAAGTAATATTCGTGGAATAAATACAGAGGTTGCGTAAAGAAAGAAGGAAAGAGAGAAAACCAATAAAAGCACGAAGCAACGCCCCCTTATATATCCAACCATAGTCCAATAATGACTAATACCTCCGCGTAATAGAAACTAAAAGAACATAACAGAAATCCCGATTACAAATCCTAATCCCATTACACAATACCTCTTCGTTTCGTACCAATCTATTACTTTAGCCGAAGTACATAGATGCCGTTACAATAGAGCTACCAAAGCATCCGTAGTAATACCACCCAAGGTGAGGCAACCCCTCACTTAGACCCCTTTGAATTGATACGCTTTCGTCAAAGTCTAGGTAGGCACCACCAGTCCCTCAAATGATATCTCACGTGGGTACCCTTCACGCCACTATACGGTCAGGCGCGGGATACTGACACGAGCACTGTCGTGTATACTGGTGATGACTACTAAACCTTTGACGAACGTGTATGTATCTGTCGATTCGTGAAAGGCATACTAGCCTTGAGGTTGAGGCCATGGTATGGCTCGTCTGAAAAGCTCAATGTCCATGCATAAGCAGCAAACATGGACTGGAAAAAGGTGCAGGATGACTTTACTGATCTGAAGACCAATACCTGCCTACCACGCCCTCCTGGAGCGGGCTTGCTGGATAGTCAGACTCAGATACTGAGCGGCCAAAACTTTAACTCCTTCTTCCAATCCGCATGCTTAGCAGAACGACACGAATTTCGAATTAGGAGTCCAATTGTGGCTAACTTTCCTAGAGCACTCATGAATGCCCTCACGGCATTCACTATAGAGAACTCACGACTGCCTTGGGAGCATTCAAATTGGAGCACTCACGACTGCTCTCACAGCATTCAACTAAATTCATTCCACGTACGCAAGTCTATCCTAGTATTTATCAACCAATTGCCAGCCTCTACCTCAAACAAATGGGCCATTCCCAATATACTCCGAATATTCACGACCCATATCCTCTTCCTCCTCCTCCTACATACCTTCAGCAGCCCATGTGAGCTATCAGCAATACCACAATCCTTTCCTTCGAGCAGCTCTACTATACATAGCCTATGGGCTCACCCCGTACAGTCCCGCACCTTGGACAAAGCCTCCACACGTCCTGGTAAGCGTCCCCGAAACACTCCCCACTGCTCTGAGGAAGCTACCAACACCCATGCTCAATCCTTTCTTATTTTCCCCTTCCTAAAAGACGCGTTTCCAGTACACCTAATGTTGTGGACCTTCTACACCTCATGTCTTTGGAAGATTGGTATCGGAAGCTGCAAACATGTGAACATCTCTACCCGCCGCTCTAAAATGCTCTCAGAGCTCCCGGTGAAGCTTTGAGAGTATCCCGCATCCTCTGCATACTCTTTTATCAGGGTGTACAAGGTGATATGGCTTATTTGCAGTGCATCTACAATATTGAAAAGTCTTTCCGATTTCGCGGAGGGGTTGCAAAGACGCTTTAGAGGCAGTCGGCCTTCTACTATTGGTCATTCATTTGACATTTTTCTACGATCTTCGATTTTGAAAATGTTAAGTAACTTCTTTAGGTTATCTCGATGGCTCCAAAGAATGTCGTCAGTACTCTCAGGACCCCAACGATGTCTTTCAGATTCAGAATCCGAATCTCTAATACCAATCCTCGCCCCCCATAGTACAGTATCTGCGTCGCAGCATCGACCTTGTTCGATGCTCTGTATGCCTCTTTTACCTGACGCACATGGGCGAGCTCGCTGATGTCAGTGAAGTACTGAGGAATGCTCTCAAAGCGCTCAACATGTTCCCGAGAGTGCGTTAACACGTGCAATTTGATGAAGTTGAAGTGAGATCTTTCCCGGATCTCACGGATCTCCTCTGTAACGGCAGATATGTATTTCGGCTAGGTAATAGATTGGTACGAGACGAGGAGGTATTGTGCAGTGGGATTAGGATTTGTAATGATGATTTCTGTTATGTTCTTTTAGTTTCTGTTACGCGGAAGTATTAGTCATCATTGGACTATGGTTGGATATATAAGGGGGCGTTGTTTCGTGCTTTTGTTTGTTTTCTCTCTTTCCTTCTTTCTTTACGCAACCTCTGTATTCATCTTGCTCGCTAAGGCTCGCAAAGAACTCTCTGATAACAAACCTCGCTTTAAAAACACTTTATTTTATTCCTCTCGGTTTACCCTGGTATACCATACCAGGCTGAGCCACTTCGTCCCCGATCGTACGGTCGCGTTTTGTTGTTCCAAGCGAAAGAAACCTACGAAAACTGGCTTCCAGCGAAGAATTCTCCAGCCTTGACCTCCCGAAAGGAAGGAAAAGAAACCTATCCGAAACATCACTCTACGCCGCCAGAAGAACTGGACATTCAGTTATGTCGCAGCAAGCTTCGCTCCAATCCTTCTTCACCCAGTCTTCCCAGCAAGGGACAGCCCCCTCGCAGAACAGGAACACCCAGGTTCCCGACCAAACCCCATCCGGAGCTCAAGAACAGGAATTCTCCTCGACCTTCGCAACAGAATCAGACTACAACGACCCATACCAACCGAGAATTGACTACCTCTACCCGAGCGTTGTCCCCCAGGACACTCACACCCAGACGGACCTGAACTATATTACCTGGGCCATCAGACATGCCACCAGCCGAATCTGCCCACCCTCCGACAGGATTGAAATCCTCGAAGAGCAAACAACTACACTCCGGAGAACAGTGGATACACTGAAGCACCAAATCGAGGCGCAGACAAATATGATTACCAATATGCATTCAGCGATCCATCTTCTCCTCAACAAACAACCACAACCGCAACAACCGCAGCAACCACAACAAAACCAACAACAGCAACAACAGCAACAACAGCGAAAACCACAACAACCGCAGGGACAGAGAATGCCCCCTCCAGCGGTCCCCCAAACAGTTCCCCAAGCAGCGCCTCAGGCAGCTCCTCAGGCCCCCCTACCCGCACCCCCCCAACAAGCCCCACCCCGTGGATGGAAAGCAGGCACCTGGGCCGCCGTGGCCTCGGCACCCGGTCCTGCTCAAGGAAATTTCCAGGTTGTTGAGAGAAGAAAGAAGTCCGCAAAGCCAAAAGCGGACCCTCTCTTCAAGCCAGAATATACCAAAATCAACAGAGAAATCATTGTTGAAACCACTGCCCCATCCGACGTCAATCCCTCCGAGATCAGGACCCTAGTCAATGCAAGAATTCAGGACGAATCCTGCCACTTCATTTCAGCAAGGAGAACACCCAAGGACAACTTTATCCTGGAAACAAAATTTGTCACCCCAGCAACAAAGGCAATGGAATATGCCAAAGAAATTGAGGAGGCTCTCCTCACCCTACAAGTACCAGTCGCCATTATCCGGGCAAACTCCAAATGGTCAAAGTTCCTTATTCACGGAATCCCTACAACGGTCGGAGAAGGCGCCGAGGCAGGACAACTGGTAGCATCCGAAATTAGAAGCAATTATGGAGATAATTTCCAACTTGCCCAG